GGTACGCGGGCCTCTCACTGTTGTGGCCTGTCCCGTTGCGGAGCACAGGCTCCGGACGCGCAGGCTTAGTGGCCGTGGCTCACGGGCCCAGCTGCTCCGCAGCATGTGGGATCTTCCCGGACCAGCCATGTCCCCTGCATCAGCAGGCGGACTCTCAACCACTGCGCCACCAGGGAAGCCCCACCCTGCTCTTTTTGTACAAATATTGTATACTATTTATCCGTTTCTTTTTTATGGATATTTAGTTGTTTCTAATGTTTTGCTGTTAATAAGCAGTACTGTTAATGGCTCTTTTTGTACCTCTCTCTTCGTGCATACATGTGAGAATATATTTAGGGTAGACACCTAGAGCTGTAGTACTTAGTGGTAGGGTAGTAATAAAGGCTTCAACTTTATTAGGTCATCTTCTCTAAAGTGACTTCCAGACACCAGAATTGTGTGAGAATTCCCATTGTTCTATATTTTTGCCTATTCATGGATATTGACAAACTTAAAATTTTTTTTCCAGTTTAATCAGTGTGAAATTTCATTGTGCTTTCAGTTTATATTTCTTGGATTACTAGTAAAGGTATACATTTTTCCTTGTGTAAATTGCCCATTTAAATTTCCTCTGTAAATTTCTTATTTATATTCTTGACTCATTTCCATTTCTCATGTTGCTTGCCTGTTTTTAATTGATATATTAGATTTCTACAGACATTCTTGACACTAGTCCTTTATTGATTTAGTAGGTCGCAAATACCTTCTCCTATTCTGTGGCTTGTGTTTTAGTCATTCGTTTTTCTACTTGATCTTTATATTTTCAAAAATGATCTTTCCCATGTGATTCTTCTTGAAATAATGTAAAGTCTTATTGTTATTTCTGCAAATTTCACTAATGGTGACTAAAGTGTATGCACAATGTTGTGTTCTTTCTTTTTTGTAGTGGATCAACAACCTGGAGGTTGATAGCAGATATAATTCATGGCCTTCTAGTCTACAGGAGTTGCTTCGCCCCACTTTTCCTGGTGTTATCCGACAGATCAGGAAGAACTTGCACAACATGGTAAGTAAAACTCCTTATTGCTGGGCTGTGATCTCTATTTCTTCCTTGCCTTCTCCCCTCTTTTCTGTCATATCTAGAACGTTCACTTCTTTACTAGCTGCTTCTCCCCACCACCACCCCTAGATACGCTCTTTTTCTAGCTCCATATTCACACTGGGAGGGTTGGGAAGTGTACTGATTGTTTGTAGGGCTGTGCAGTGTCAATGTATGAGGAAATGCTCCTCATCCTTAATCTCACGGTTTAGACTGTGTTAAGTTTTAAGATAGTTCTTTTTTACTCAGAAGATGAATATATTACTACCATTTTTCTTGAATATCTTAATACCTAAAATTTAATAGTTCAGTGTATTCCCTTAAATAAATCTTCGTCAGCTCCTGCTTTTTAATCCTTATTCCACTGCTTTAGAGATAGAGGAAAAGGGCTTTTAATTGACGCTCTTTTCTCCTCACATGTCTTTCTTTTACCTCATGTAGTTCCTAAAGAGACGGGGCAGGTTATGGCCAAGGTTGGCTTCCTCGGAAGTTTCAAGGGGAACGATCCTCTATACTTGCCTCACTCTTGAAACCACTTTTTTCCTTCCCAGTCAAAATTTCAATCTCTTTTACTCTTACCATATGAGATAATTTATTAAACTTTATTAAATGAGAACTTTATTTGATTAAATGAGATTAAATGGGATAATTATTTTTTAAAGTACATCATGAGAACTTAATACATGATAGCTACTATTGTGGTCTAAAAATTGTGTTCTAAATGAATTCTTAATTCAGAGATCCTTCGAAATGAATACACAGGAAGCTAATCTCCATTTTCTAAGGTGGGAGAGTTAATAAAATTTGGATTTTGTTAGGTGTAGTAAAGGACATGTATTAGCCAGCTGGATACAATTCCCATGTTGTTAGCGTAAGATCATGAGAAAATCACTTAGCCTTTCAGTACCACATTCTTTGAATACAGAGGGAGGGTAACTGCTCTTTGTATAACTTCTTTTTTAATGTGGTTTGAAAGTAGCTGGAAAAAGGTGGCCTTCAAGTGTAAAGACTAAGGCATTTTTATTGGCGCAGTGACATTTGAATAAATGTCGTTTCATGTTTTCCTTTCCCTTCCCTACAGGTTTTCATAGTTGATCCTGCTCATGAGAGCACTGCAGAGTTGATTAACACAGCTGAGATGTTCCTCAGTAATCATATACCACTAAGGTAACACCTCGATTTGATGGTATATCTTGTTTAGCTGAGGTTTTGTTTGTCATTCTTAACAAGTCTGGTGTTACTGAATTGTAGGATAATTAATCATGGGGGTCATTAAGGGCAGTTTTATCTTTTGCTCAGTATGAAGCCAGTATCTTTTGGGGGAGAGAATTTGATTCTCAATGAATAGAATCTTACCGTCATTGAGTTATTAATAAATAGCCTGTGTAAAAATAACATGTGATCTCAGCTTGCTTAGGGAATTTTCCTAAGTAAGTGTTCATATCACAAAGCCTACCTTCAGCAGAGATAAGGAGCTTTGCCAAGAACTTTTGTCAGACTGTCAAGGACTAAATGTATACACAGCTTTTTATAGATGAAAACAGACCCATTTATTTCACTTGTGTTACTAAATCTGCCAGCGGGGTACTTAAATGGCTGGGGTTTCCACTGTACCTTCTCAGAACAACGTTTGAAGGTTTTACATATAAGGATTAAGATATTCCCACATTCTGAATAGAATGTGGTAATTTTACATGTTGATAAAATTTGAATTCTTAGAAAACATGAAAATAAAGAAGAAAGGAGCTCTTTAGCTAATTAACGTTATTGTGTGTTCCATACTCAACACTGAGCTAAATGCTGTGAGTGGAACATAAGCCACATTTCTACCCTCTTGGAAAAATTACTGTGCCTACTTACAGTAAGATATTCAATCAAGTGCTAGGTTATGTTCTTGCTAGTTCTAAGTGCTTTAGAATTTCAGGGAAAAAAAAGATTATAGACATATTTGGGAAGGACAAAGGTTTCATGGCAAAGTTGGATTTAAGATAGACTTTGAAGAAAATAGCGAGTTTTCATTGATGGAAAAGCAGAGATTTTGAGTTTAATGAAATTTTTAATGTAAACCTGAGCCAGAGCTATGTTTTGATGAAAAGGGAATATTAAGAACACAAAAGAAGTTGGCTCATGGTACACAGTGGGCATTAATTAAAGATTTACTGAATCGCATTGAGGGTCAGGAATAGGGCATGGGCTCTTCAGATTGCAAAGGTAGGTGAGAAGAAGACACTTAAGTCACAGGCATGTTGTGAACAGTTGGTGGAAAGACCAAGGCAGACCAGCGGTTGTTTTCCTTTGTATGAGTTGCTGTGGTACACGGAGTTGTTGGCAGGGACTGAGGAGAGGAGGGGACAAATCTGAGAGCCTCCCTACTGGTACTTGATGAGTGACTGGTCCTGAGAGAAACAGTAGTCTGGATTAGCTAACAGAACAATCTGATGCCCTTTTTAAAAATTGAATACTTGGGAAAGCGAAGTACTTTGTGAAGAGATAATTAGGTTCTAGCTCTTATTTTTATTTTCATAAGAATAATATTAAGGTCATTTCTGCTTCGCACTTACTCATTTGATTTCTGTCATAAGAGGGGTTTTAAAAAGACAAAGACAATTTATAATCTAAAAACAAGCCCTCTCAACTACCTCATCCATGCATACACAGATTCTACACATACCTCCTGAGAGCATGATGTTTGATATATGTTTATCATATATTTCTAGGCTGTACTTTTTAAAAAAAATTAATAGACTTTGTATTTTTTTAGAGCGATGTTGATTAATTAACTGGTATTGCTACATTATTATTAACTCAGTCCATAGTTTACATTAGGGTTCATTGTTTGTGCTGTACATTTTGTGGATTTTGACAGATGTATAATGACATGTTTCCACCATTATAGTATCATATAGCTTAGTTTCACTGCCCTAATAATGCCCTGTGCTCTACCTGTTTGTCCCTCCCTCCCTCCCTCCCTCCCTCCCTCTCTCCCAGCTCCTGGCAACAACTGATCTTGTTACTGTCTCCATAGTTTTTGTCTTTTCCACAATCATGATGTATGTAACATTTTCAGATTGGCTTCTTTCACTTAGCAGTACAGTATGCTTTTAAGCTTTGTCCATGTCTTTTTGTGGCTTAATACCTCATTTCTTTTTATCACTGAATAATATTCCATTATATGGATGTCCTATAGTTTTCACCTGTTAACAACATCTTGGTTGCTTCCAGATTAGGGCAGTTATGAGTAAAGCTGCTACAAACATTTGTATGCAGGTTTTTGTATGGATATAAGATTTCAGCGCATTTGAGTAAATACTGCTAAGTGTGATTACTTTATCTTTTGGTAAAAGTGTGTTTAGCTTTTTGAGAAGCTGCCACACTGTGTTCCAAGTAGTTGTACTGTTTTACATTCTCACCAGCAATGAATGAGGGTGCCTGTGGCTCCCCATCCTCTCCAGAGTTTGATGTTGTCAGTACTTTTTGGATTTTAGCCATTCTCATAGGTGTATGGCGGTATCTCATTATGGTTTTAATTTGAAATTCCCTAATGACATATGATTTTGAGCATCTTTTAATGTGGTTATTTGCCATCTGTATGCCTTGTTCGGTGAGGTGCCTGTTTAGATCTTTGGCCCATTTTTAACTGTTTTTTTTTTTTTTTGCGGTACGCAGGCCTCTCACTGTTGTGGCCTCTCCTGTTGCGGAGCACAGGCTCTGGACGCGCAGGCTCAGCGGCCATGGCTAACAGGCCCAGCCGCTCAGCGGCATGTGGGATCTTCCCGGACCGGGGCACGAGCCCGTGTCCCCTGCCATCGGCAGGCGGACTCTCAACCACTGCGCCACCAGGGAAGCCCTGTTTTTTAATTGTTAGTTTTAAGAGTTCTTAGCATATTTTGCATATCAGTCCTTTATCAGATATGTGTTTTGCACAGATTTTCTGCTCATCTTGGCTTGTCTTCCTTCTTTTAACAGTTTCTTTTGCAGAGCAGAAGTTCTTAATTTAAATGAAGTCCAGCTTATCAGTTCTTTTTGTTGTGGGTTGTGCTTTTGGTGTGAGATCTAAGAAGTTATTGCCAAACGCAGGATGACCTAATTTTATCCTGTTATTTTCTAGGAATTTTACAATTTTGTGTTTTACATTTATGTCTGTGATCCATTTGAGTTAAAGACTGTCCTTTTTTTCATTGCTTTTGCTCTAAGATAGAGGCTAGTGGCCTCTATAATGGCCAGTGCAAGTTTTTTTGGCCAGTCTGTAGATGTGTAATGGTAGCTCGTTGTGGTTTATTCCTTTAAGTTTTAAAATGTAATAAACTTTGGGCTTCCCTGGTGGTGCCGTGGTTGAGAGTCCTCCTGCCGATGCAGGGGACACGGGTTCGTGCCCCGGTCTGGGAAGATCCCACATGCCGCGGAGCGGCTGGGCCCGTGAGCCATGGCCGCTCAGCCTGCACGTCCGGAGCCTGTGCTCCGCAACGGGAGAGGCCACAGCGGTGAGAGGCCCGCGTACCGCAAAAAAAAAAAAAAAAATCTGCATTAAAATGTAATAAACTTTAACTTTGGGTGTAGCTTTGTTTGTTTGTTTTTTTATATTGCAGGTTATTATTAGTCATCAATTTTATACACATCAGTTTATACATGTCAGTCCCAATTGCCCAGTTCAGCATGGGTGTAGCTTTTTGCCTAATGACAGTAGTAAATATTTTTATGCTTTCCATTTACCTATGATGCCCATATTGCTGGTATGAAATCTCAAAATCCACCCCCCCCTTCTATATGTTTTCACATTCTGAGAATTTTCACTTCCCCTAATTTTTATTTAAAAACAGAACAAAATCTCCATCTAAAACTATGGCAATACCTTAAATGTCAGTAATGGCCTCATTTTATGATATTGAAACAGCTTGCTTTAATACTTAAAAAGTCTAAGCCACCTTTGGGAACCTGCTTTTTTATTCTGCAAGTGATGAATGCCTTTGCCAACCATGTTAGAGCATGATGTGAAATGTGTTTTTCAAGAGAGGATGCCTTTCCTTATTTAACTGGTTGCATTCTTCGAGATGTTTCTTTTTCTTCTTTTTTGCCCTTCCCTTTCTCCCTCAGACTTGGTTTCATCTTTGTGGTTAATGACTCTGAAGATGTTGATGGGATGCAGGATGCTGGAGTGGCTATTCTGAGAGCGTATAATTATGTTGCCCAAGAAGTGGATGATTATCATGCCTTCCAAACTCTGACACACGTATGTTTTTGTTCAAAATGGCAGATACTTTTTAAAAATCTAACTTACTTTAAGAAACAGTATGTGGTAAGGAGATTCTGTATTTCTGGAAAGAGAAAAAAGTAAATTATTCACACAAACTTCATGCATTTTGTATTTCCGGAGTTGCCTTTATTGGTACACTAATGTTAATAATAGATTGTTGTGATTTCAGCTAAGATTCTTTAGATACTAATACATTAATGTATCTTAGTTTTCTGCCTTTTGGCGATTTGAAATCACTGATTAATGCCTTTCGGTAAATGTGATGTTCTCTACTTGTTTAAAAAAACTTTGCTTTCTTCCCTTTTAAGACCATCATGATATTTTCGTTAGGAATCAGTTTAATATTCAAGTCATAAAATTCTTATTAATTGTTTTCTCCATTTTAATTGGAAACTGTGAAATACCCTGATTTATATATATATATTTTAAGATACTTGCTTAAGTTCAAACAGAGAACTCTCCTTGTTTTTTTTCTATTTTTGAGTATAAAAAGTTTACCAGTAATAGTTCTTTTGCTTACAGATTAGTGTTATTGAAAAACTTATCTTTAAAGCAGTTATTTTCATGACTTTTATTTTACCCATAAACATGATTTCAGCCTGCTGTTTATTATGTTTGGTATGTTCAGTTGGGGCATTTTTTATTAATTGAAATGTTCATTTATTTATTTGGCCAACTTTTATTAAAGATGCACCCTTTGCCAGGCCTGTACCAGCTGCTAGGGATACAAAGAAGAATAAGATTTTCCCCTGTCCTCAAACACCTTACAGTCTAGTGGGGGACGCCTCCACACAGATGATTTGGTACAGTGTGGGAAGCACCGCTGGCTACAGCAGCACTAGGACCTCACTCCACTAGGGATGGCCATGGACATTTTTGTGGAGTGGGAAGTTGTCCCGGCTGAGTGTAGGAGGGAAAACAGGAGTCAGTTGAACAGTGGCTGCAAATCAGAGGTAGTGACTCCAGGTTGTTAGTATGACTTGAGCAGAATATTGTGAGAGCAGAGTGGAGAGGGGAACCTCAGTGGTCATTGAGGCCATTAGGCTGGGTAATAGGTGTCCAGCTCACAGAGTTAAACTCCAATTAAAACCTCATTCTGATGCATGTATGGAGATAGATCTGGTGAAGGGTAAAGAAAGTGGCAGGGATACTAGTTGGTGAGCTGTTGCTGTGATCTCTGTGAGAAATGGTGGGGGACCTTAGTTAGCAGTAGGCTCTGGAGAATGAAATAAGTTCCAATGAAGTTGCTGAGGATAATAAGGGTTTTTAAGTCTGTTTTTTAAAGTTTTTTCCCCTCACAGCTGTGTGTATAAAGGAAAGGATGAAGAGTTTTCATTTCTTTATTTTTAGTTGCAAAAGTAAAAAAAAATTATGTTCATTATTAAAACTTTTAAAAATAATATTAAAGTGTGTTGATTAAAAAATCTGTCTCTGCTCTCCTTAATCCTGCTCCTTAAAGGCAGCCACTGTTAAAAGCTTGCATCCTTCTAGACGCTTAACTGTACATGTACAGACACAGTTTTGTTGTTGTCTTATATCTGCCTTTTAAAAACAAGGACTATGCCATATGTATTTTGAAACTTTTTTTCCCCTTAAACTTCATGGACATGAGTTCTTATTTCAAAGATTACTTATAAGTATTCGGATTTTTAAAAAATTAACACATTTTTGCGTTTGGGACTTAATGTGAATATGAACTGATTGAGTCATTTTAAGAATATGTAGTTTCTAACATAAGAAGGCATAAGGAAGTATATGGAAAAGGGAGAATTGCTAATATGGCCCATTTGCTCTTTTTAAGAGAATTAGCTATTGTTTTCATTTTTCCTCTACATTCTGAAATTTTTGTAATAAATACTCCGAAATTTACATGTGAAAGTGTAGTTGGTTACCTGGTTTTTCTTTGTTCAGGTATATAACAAAGTAAGGACTGGAGAAAAAGTTAAAGTTGAACATGTGGTCAGTGTCCTGGAGAAGAAATATCCATATGTGGAAGTGAATAGCATCTTGGGGATTGACTCTGCTTATGATCAGAATCGGAAGGTAAACATTCTCTGGCACTTCTCATTTGACTGCAACACTATACTTTCCTTACGTCTCCTTATTATTGGGGGTTACTGTTAATAAAGGTGGTGATGGTGAAATATTTAGGTACTTAGCATTTAAAAATTTAGAAACCTGGTCACTTTTCTGTCTCTGCAAATATAGTTTATATTTCAATTTTGTGAAGATATCGTTGATTTTTAGCTGGCCTATCAACTATACAATTGAAAAATAATTTCTCTTTATAATGCACTAGTAGTGCCTGAGTGATATATGTTCTGGATAAAATCTGTTGGAAGTGTATGATGTATGCTTGTCAGGTATGATGTGTGTGCCTAATGTGTGTCATGTATTTAATTGTTTAGGCTAAAAATGGAAATGCAATAGGAAATGTAATAAATAGAATGGCAAAGTCTCATAATAAGGATATAGGGAAATATTTTAAAATCTTTATTTAAAGATAATAGTGAGACATTAAATATAGTGAAGGACCTTTATTGTAAGCAGGAACAAGGTGGTCAGTTTATTGAAAACAAATGTTAAGACAAGGAATCAAAATACATTTCTGAAACAATTTAAAACAATAAAAACGTGTATTTATTTACCAGCTTTTTTTCATGTTTTTGAATGAAGGACAAGGCCTTTGGTTCATCTGTTTGAGATCTGAGCTATCATTTCATTAGAAACCATACTGATAATGCATTGTTTATACTTTCTCTTTTATCTGAGTACAGAATCCTAGATTTTATAATCTCCCTCTCAAGTCTTACCCATGCCCAATTCAACACCAGTTGTTTTTTAGCGTTTCACTTTTTTGTTTTTCTAGTCATTCAGTTTGTTTTCGTTTCCTTCCTTCCTTCCTTCCACTTATTTTAACTTAATATAGTTTTATTATGGTAATATTGATTTGTGACATTATATAAGTTTCACATGTACAACATTATATTTCTACTTCTGTATCCCCTACAGCTTGCCCACCACCAAAAATTTATTTTCCATTCATCACTGTACAGTTGATCCTGTTTACTCATTCCTCCGCCCCCAGTATCCACTACTTTGTTACATGTTTGTTTTTGTTTGGTTTGGTTTGTTCATTTATTTTGTTTTGTTTGTTTATTACTTTTTTATATTCCACATGTAAGTGAAATCCTGTGGTATTTGTCCTTCTCCGTCTGACTTATTTCACTAGCATAATACCCTCAAGGTCCATCCGTGTTGTCACAGATGGCAAGATTTCATCTTCTGTTTATGACTGAGAAGTGTTCTATTGTGTGCATGTGTGTTTGTGTGTGTGTATGTATATCTTACATCTTCTTTATCCATTCATCTCTTGATGGACAGTTGGATTGTTTCTGTATCTTGGCTGTTGTAAACAATGCCATGATGAACATAGGAGTGCATATAATTTTTTGGATTAGTGTTTTCACTTTCTTTGGATAAATAACCAGTAGTGGAATTATTGGATCATATTCTATTCTTAATTTTTTTTGAGGAATCTCCATACTGTTTTCCATAGTGGCTGTACCAATTCACATTCCAGCAGTGCAAGAGGATTCTCTTTTCTCCACATACTTACCAACATTTGTTATTGCCTGTGTTTTTGATAATAGTCATTTTGGCAAATGTGAGGTGATATCTCATGTGGTTTTGAGTTGCATTTCCAAGGTGAGTAGTGATGTTGAACACCTTTCATGTGCCTGTTGGCTAGCTGTATGTCTTTTTTGGAAAAATGTCTATTCAGGTCTTCTGCCCATTTTTTAATCAGGTTTTTGTTGTTGTTCTTGAGCTGTATGAGATCTTTATATATTTTGCATATTAACCTCTTATTGGGTATATTATTTGCAGATATATTCTCTCATTGGGTAGGTTGTCTTTTCATTTTATTGATGGTTTTCTTTGCTGTGCAGAAGCTTTTTTCATTTGATATAATTACATTTGTTTATTTACGCTTTTGTTTTCCTTGCCTGTGGAGACATGTCTAGAAAGCTATTGCTAAGATGGATGTCAGAGAGGATACTGCCTTTTTTTCCCTTAGATTTCTATGGTTTTGGGTCTTACATTAAAGTTTTTAATTCATTTTGAGTTAACTTTTGTGTATGGTGTGAGGTAGTGGTCTAGTTTCATTTTTTTTTTTTTCATGTGGCTGTCTGGTTTTTCCAGTGCCATTTATTGAAGATCCATTGTATGTTCTTTGCTCCTTTGTCATAAATTGTCCATATATTTTTGGTTTTATTTCTAGGCTCTCATTCTATTCCATTGATCTATGTATCTGTTTTCCTGCCAATACCATGCTGTTTGGATTAGTATGGCTTTGTAATATAGTTTGAAGTCAGGAAATGTGATGCCTCCAGCTTTGTTCTTTTTCTCAGGATTGTTTTGGTTATTCAGGATGTTTTCTGTTTCTGTATAAATTTCAGAATTTTTGTTCTATTTCTGTGAAAAATGTCCTTGGGATTTTGATAGGGATTACATTGAATCTGTAATGTAAATTGTCTTAGGTAATATGGACATTTTATTTATTTATTTTTGGCTGCACCATGCAGGATGTGGGATCCCTGACCAGGGATTGAATCCGCACCCCTTGGAGTGGGAGTGTGGAGTCTTAGCCACTGGACCGCCAGGGAAATACCTTTTTTGTTGTTGTTGTGTGTGTGTGTGTGTGTGTGTGTGTGTGTGTGTGTGTGTGTGTGTTTTTAATTGGCTTTATTTATTTTTTTCTTGGCCATGAGGCATGGCTTGCAGGATCTTTGTTCCCCAACCAGTGATTGAACCAAGGCCCACAGCAGTGAACGTGCAGAGTGCTAACCAGTGGATTGCCAGGGAAGTCCCTTAATATGGACATTTTAACAATGTTAAATTTCCCAATACATGAGCATGAAATATCTTTCCATTTATTTGTGTCTTCTTTGGTTTCTTTCAACTGTCTTACAGGTTTCAGGGTACGTCTTTCACCTCCCTGGTTAAATTTATTGTGATTATAAATGGGATTGTTTTCTTAATTTCTCTTTCTGCCTAGCGTATAGAAATGCAACAGATTTTTGTATATTGATTTTATATCTTGCAACTTTATTGTATTTGTTTATTACTTCCAACAATTTTTTGGTGGAGTCTTTAGGGTTTTCTGCACATAAAATCATGTCATCTGCAAATAGTAACAGTTTTACCTCTTCTTTCCAATTTGGGCATGTTTTATTTCTTTTTCTTACCTCATTGCTCTGGCTAGGACTTTCAATATTGTGTTGAAACTAAGTGGCGAGAGTGGGCATCCTTGTCTTGTTCCTGGTCTTAGAGTGATAGCTTTCAGTTTTTCACCATTGAGTATGATGTTAGCTGTGGATTTGTTGTATGTGGACTTTATTACGTTGAGGTATGTCCCTTCTATACCCACTTCACTGAGAGTTTATATCATAAATGGGTGTTGAATCTTCTCAAATGGTTTTTCTGCATCTATTGAGATGATCATGTGGTTTTTATCATTCATTTTGTTAATGTGGTGTATCACATTGATTGATGTGGGGATGCTGAATCATCCTTTCATCCCTAGAATATATTTCACTTGATCATGGTGTATGATCCTCCTTTTTTATTTTTGAAGATCATCTTTTTTAAAAAATTTTATTTATTTATTTATTTTTGGCTGCATTGGGTCGTCGTTGCTGTTTGCGGGCTTTCTCTAGTTGTGGCGAGCAGGGGATACTCTTCATTGCAGTGGCTTCTCTTGTTGTGGAGCACAGGCTCCAGGTGCACAGGCTTCAGTAGTTGTGGTTCATGGGCTCTAGAGCGTGGGCTCAATAGTTGTGGTGAACAGGCTTAGTTGCTCCGCAGCATGTGGGATCTTCCCAGCAGGGCTCCAACTCCTGTCCCCTGCAATGGCAGGCGGATTCTTTCTTTTTTCTTTTTTTTTTTGATGTGGACCATTTTTAAAGTCTTTATTGAATTTGTTACAATATTGCTTCTGTTTTGGATTTTTGTCTGCAAGGCATGTGGAATCTTAGCTCCCCGACTAGGGATTGAACCCGCACCCTCTGTATTGGAAGGCGAAGTCTTAACCACTGGACCGCCAGGGAAGTCCTGGCAGGTGGATTCTTAACCACTGTGCCACCAGGGAAGTCCCTGTATGATACTTTTGATGTATTGTTGAATTCAGTTTGCTAATATTTTTTGTTTGTTTGTTTTTGTTTTTGTTTTTTTTTGCAGTACGCGGGCCTCTCACTGTTGTGGCCTCTCCCGTTGCGGAGCACAGGCTCCGGACGCGCAGGCTCAGCGGCCATGGCCCGCGGGCCCAGCCGCTCCGC